ATGGAGGAGAGATGTGTGTGTATTAGAAGAGAATGATATCTTCGGGTCGTGATCTACACAACGCGCGAATAGAAGTGAAGAATGAAAGGATGAACAGTGAAAAAGGGAAGAATAGGAGAAGGAATGGGAGAAGAGAAGAGGAAGAGTTGAACACACGCTCACTTTCGTCCCATTGATCTATGATAATCGGACTCCCGGCACAGCTCGAATGATTGAAAGTGGGACGAATAGATATTAAGTATCCGCACCGCTCGACACACAATATGGCAAGATACGGCACGCAATAAGCAAGCACGGAAAAGTTGAGCAAGCTTCAGAAGCAAACCCTGGGCGCTTCGACTCTTCTTTGGAAATGCATGCATGCGCGGGACGGGGTTCGAGCTCTCGGCGCTGGCTGGACCAGCGTTTGGGATGCTCGCGGGGGAGCAACAGGATTGGAGCATGGGTGGAGGAGGAGGGATAACTCACACCTCACAGCCTACAGACCCCATAGACTATAGAACGGATGGTGATGGGGTTTGCGGGAAAGACGTGACAAGGTCCGCGAGCTTCTTGGGGCCCGGATCCCTGTCTTGAGGTCTGGATGTTTGTGTGAATGGTCGATTGCGTTGGAACTCTGAGTTGCCATTGAAGCTGTCCACGGGTTCCGTCTGACACTTCTTTTTCTTGTCTTTTTTCCCTGGTCCATCATCCATGGGATCATTGGAGTATGGACGGTGGACCATGGCCCATGGCGAACCCCAGGATGGAGAGAAACAAGACTTTTGACGAATGTAACCCTCGGTAACTTTAGTAAGGTTGTCTTGTAACGAGGAAGGGTTAAGCGACTCATGGTGCGAAGGACGACAATCCCCTGTAGCCCCTTCCCGCGACCCAATTGGACATTGGCGTTGTTTGATGATTGATGTTGTTGGTAAGGTATGCAGGATCATAAGAAAAGGGGGGGACGGAAAGGATGGCGCTAGGTTGCAGCGCTGCGATTGTTTCTTGTGTCAAGATCCTCGTTGATGGGCGTTCAAGGGGGTTGTGCGCTCGTGTCAGATGTGTTGCAGGACGCTGGGGTTGAGTTCTCGAGTGCACCCCAGCACTCCCCGTAAAGCGATGGTGGGCGGGAGAGGGAAAAAAAAAGGGGTGGCGTTGCAGACAAAACGGAATGGGGCCCGGGTTTGGAGGTCAGACAAAACAACTGACACACGCCGATCAGCGGGAGAGCCTTGGCCTGCCACTATTTTGTTGGTAACACGGCGCCGTTGACAAGTAGTAGCCTGCTCCAATGGTCCGTATGTAGGTATGAACCCCTTGGCTAGTTGGCCGTAGGGTCCCCAGCAAACTACCTTCTCTTGCATGGCGGTTGTGGAGTGTTTCCAAACCGATTCTGTGGGAGAATGTCAGGCACAAGAAGGGATAACAGCAAGTGGGTTAGAGTTAAAATTTAGGTACGCTTGCAGGAGATGGTGGTGGCCGCGGCCACCTTTTAGCCGTGGCCTTTTTTGGTGAGTGTCGTCAGGATTGACTTACCTTTCTCTGCCTCAGTCGAGCCAACCTGAGCCCGCGGACTATGGAGTGAGACGGGCTTCACATTCTCGCCTGTGGATGCTGCCTTGGCTGCCCCGCTGGGGACATGTGCAGATGGAACATTTTGATGACCAAGAATGCCTGCCCGTAAACATATTGTCGTGCAGCTGCCCAGAATAGATGCTACCGCACATGTGTCGAGGAAACTTGCGACGACGCGGGAGCCACCTGCGCCCACGGTGGCGGCTAAAACATAACACACAGCACAGGTCCCGAACCGCACAGGACGGCGTGGGCAGACCTGCAGGTGCCGTCCTATCCAGCGGATCTCACTGTACGAGGCACGAATAGCCGGCGACAAAGAACACAAATCACATCTCAGCTGCCCGCCGGCGACCGGACGGTGGTGGGAGGAGGGGGGCGTCGACGACCTTATATAGTGGAGCAAAGTGAAGAATCCAGACCCCTCGAGTCCCAGCCGTCGGGTTTCCGTGAGGCCGATGTTTTGGATTTGCATGTTCCGTGTCGCGTTTAGAAAAAAGGGTCGAGCCGAAACCAGAGCCGGAACCCAACGGAAAAAGTCTCCGGTCGCGGGGACGACCGTGACCCACCCCGAAAGTGAGCCCGGCGAAAGGTGGAGACCATGTCCGGAACACCGGTGTCTGCGGGTCGCCTTATTCGGCGAATTGATCACATCAATAGCAACTTCTACCATAATCAAATCAACACGTAACGTCCTTCTCCAACCGTCCGCCCCGTCTACTGAACTGATCCGCAACACTCTCCATCTCCACAGCAGGAAACCTCGGGTCCTTCTGCCAAGGCAAGAAATCACTACTCGCCACCATCCACCGCAACACAACCCCTTCCATCCGCCTCCTCACCTCTTGATACTCGCCCACCTTGGCCAGGTTATGCAGCTCCCCCGGGTCCCCAGCCCGATCATACAGCTCCGCCGGCTCGTACAGCCGATACACGAACGTCCACTCCTTGTCCCGGCACGCCACGCTCTTGCCCACAATCGTCGTGTCCTCGTGCTGCAAGGCGGCTTTGATATCGTACGGGTACGGCGCCTGCTCCAGCAGCGGCTCCTCGCTCGTCAGGAACCCGCCCTCGGAAAAGGCAAACTCCTTGTGCTTCATCGTAGCGTCCGCCGAGGTCAACACCTCCGCGAGCGAGACGCCGCAGTGAGGAAAATGCTCCCCGATACCCGCAAACTGCAGCACCGTCGGGACTAGGTCCACCATCTCCGCCATCTCGTCGTACACCGCGCCCCGCGGCAGCCCGCAGCCGCCGACGATCAGCGGCTCGTGGGTCAGCGAGTCCGAGAGGCCCGACGGCCACTTCTCAATCATGCCGTGGTCGCCGAGGTACTCCCCGTGATCCGTGAAGAACAGCGTCACCGTCGAGTCCCAGTGGCCCAGCGCCTTCGTCTTGTCCACGACGCGCCCGAATTGGTCGTCGAGACGGGAGATCATGCCGTAGTAGGTCGCCATCACCTCGGCCCAGATCTCGGGCGTCGCGCGGTGGGTACCGTAGCGCTCGCGGTTGAGCTGCATGTAGCGAGGCTCGTAGCCGGTCTGACAATAGTCCTTTAGCTGCGACAGTCTCTGGCATCCCCCAGGAGTGCACTCACCTTATCGTCTGGCTTCGTAGGCACACCCATCTCACCGCGATCATACATTGAAAAATACGGCTCCTCCACCTGAAAAGGACAATGCGGGAAAATGAGCGGCATGAACAACACCCAAGGCTTATCCGTCGGCGGACACTCCAACCACTTCAACGCGCCCTTTACAACAGCATCATCATAATCCATCGCCTCCTCGTTATTCCTCAATCCCTTGTAAAACAGCCTCTTCCAGATATCCTCCTTATCCTCGGGCTCCTTGTTCCCGCCACCCGCGAACCGCGGCACGAACTCGGGCGTCTCGAGGAACCCATACTCATCCAGCGACAGCTCCGTCACCGTCGGCGCAAAGGTATCGCCCCTCGGCGCGAGGCACGCGACGTGGTACCCTCCCTTTTCCTTGAGCGAACGAAAGAGGTTGGGCTCCCACGGCTTGATGAGGTTCTCGAGGGAGCGGTGGCCCGTGACGTGCGGGTAGTTGCCCGTGAACATGCTGCACCGGGATTGCGTGCAGACGGAGGCCTGGACGAAGCAGTTTGTGAAGCGGGTGCCCTCGGCCGCGAAGCGGTCAATGTTGGGCGTCTTTACGGTCTGTCAGAACGTTAGTGATGTTGCATCGATGGTTCACTTTTGAGGGGAGGGTGATGTATGACCTTGTTGCCATTGCAGCCGAGTGAGTCGTAGCGAAGCTGGTCCGGCATGAAGATGATGAAATTTGGCTTGTCCACCTTGAGCCCGCTGGGCTTCGCAGGCTGTTCATACGGAGGTGGGATATCTGACGAGGGTGCCATCGCGAGAGGTCTGTCTATTACACACTTTACGATGCGGATTGACGTTGTCGCACTGCTCGCAAATTGAGAGCGGGAAAGTCTCTTCTAGATATAATCAACATCAAATCAGGAGCCTTGCCATTTCTTTCACGAGGACACCATAATAATCCACTCACTATCCCAAACCGCAGACCCTCACTGGTCGGATGAGGTTCAACACGGTGATGCGCGTCGTCCGTAGCACAGCCGACAACCGCTGCGATTATCCGGCGAGATCCGGCGATGAGTGGAGACAATAGGGTGGTCCGTACCTAGCGGTGCCGGGATCGGGCCAGTACCGCGTCCGTTTGTTAGAGCACGAGTCGGGGGATTTTGATGGGTGATCGTCGCAAATCATTTGCTTGCCGATCCCATGGTCTAAACACTTTCCCCCCAAACACCAACTGCGAAACAAGCCGGTTCGTCGATTGAAGCTGCTTCGCTGCAGCCTGCCGCATTTTGAGGTACCGTGCCGCAGGAGCGGCTACTAGCCCAATGACAATAAACATTGACGTCGGACCTCCGGCAAATATTGCCAATGCGGGGTGGCTGTAACGTAGGGCGGCACACGGTCTCACAGGATCGACAGACTCGGGGTAGCACGGGGGCATGCGAGAAGCCATGGGTCATCATTTGCTTTGAATTGTTTAGAGGACAGAAGGAAATTATACAGCATTAGAATATACAAATATTCTACAACCCGGCATTCGCCTTCACCACACGGTGATTCCTGGTTTCGTTCACACCGCGAGACGGGCTTCCCGGGGGTAGTCGTTAAGTTTATATACGTAAGAGTTGCGCCCCGAGCCATTTCCCGATGCCGATGCGCGGTAACTCCACAGGCGGTGATAAAATCCCCGTGTGTATGGACCATGCAAAGGACAGAAGGTCATCCCGGTGCGCAGGGTATAAAAGTGTGTGTCGTCGAACGCCATGCCATGTTGAGAAAAATGCTGAGTGGTTTGTACAGCGGGAACCGATCTGTACAGAAGAAATTTGTCCGGGCAAAAGTTGGACACTTGATAAGTTTTGGTTTTGTTGGTTGCTTAGTTGAAGCGCTCCTTCTCCCGCAGGCCGCCGATTGAGTCGATATCGACAGAGTAAAACTGCGACTTGCTATCCTTCTCGTACGCCGGGAGCTGCTCATCGCGGACGGGCTCGAGGCCGACGGAGCCGCCATCGCCAACGCGGACGACGAGGACACGGCCGCTCTTGCGGCGGCCGCCCTCATCCTGCTCGTCGGGGAAGGTGATGTGGATCTCGGGGACGTTGTCGGGGGAGTGGGGAGCGGACTGGGGGTTCTGGAGCATCGGCGAGCGTCCGTCCTGGCCGATGTAGAGGACACTTGAGCGGCCGTCTTGACTTGTCTGGATGGTGAGGTTGTGGTGGTTTCTGGCGCCGCCCTTGACTTCTTGATAGGTGGGAAGCATCTGTTCTCGGCGTTGTTGCCTGCGCATGCGGCGCATGAGGAAGAGTGTGGAGACGAGGAGGAGGGCGAAGAAGATTAAGGCGAGAACGACAATCATAAGGTTGAGAGTGTCGCCGCCATCGACGTCGCGGGTGACAACGCCAGGGGCGTTGCGGGAGATGAGGTTTTGGATGGAAGGCATTGTGTTGGTCGTGAGCGGGTCTGATTATTACTGCAAATATCCCTTTTCTTTGGTGCGAGTCGAAGAAGAGAGCGGTATTCGGTATAATTATTAAAGAGCGGACGACTGCAGGAGGGGATTGTCAGCCATCGCGAAAGGGGTTTGTTGTTTGAGGGTCCGACATCTGGTGAGACATTCTGGAGCATTGTCTGGTGAACACACAAAGGGGAATAGATCCATTCCAGATCTCCCTTTTCTCACCGGCCAACACACACAACAGTCCTCGAATGTCCAGTCCAGAAGGGCGGGTTTGCCTCGCCTCCCAAAAAAAGAAGTGGCACGTACGTAAGGGATCAAGTCTTCTCTCTGTGGCAGGCCGTCGCGAAAGTCGTTAAAGAATGCACTTGTCTCTCGGTGTGTCGTGGATATTTTTGGATTTGAGGGTTGGGTGTTTTTTTCGGTGTAGTTGTGATGGTACGTAGTGAGCAGGGTGGTTATTAACGATAGGACGGAAAACTGCTTAGTGAATGCAAGCGGTATTTCCAAGGGGGGGATAGTATTAGAGAGTGACTGGAAGGAGGGTGCTAATAGAGAGCGAGTGACAACAAACGGTCCTGCAACGTACAGCAAGGACAACGACGATTTGAACAAAGTTGTTGAAGAAGAAGGGGAGGGAAGGGAGGAGGAGAAGAAGTCGAGATGGAAGGGAACGAGGAAGGATATGTCCTGGTTGGAAAATGGAGAGACAGGGGTAGCGCCGAGGAGGAAGAGGAGGTCTGCGGTGTGGTGTGTGTGTGTGTGCCTGGTACCTGCGTTGGTGTGTGGACAATTGGTGCGCAGGCTTGCATTAGGACTGGGCAGCGGGTAAGTGGCTACTGCCCAGCGTGTGTGCCAGTGTGGGCGGCATTGGACGCCTGGGAGGAAGACGCGATGGAGCCATGCCGTTCCTGGCCAGGCATCCAAGGATCTATGCAGCAGAGGCACAGCATAAGCGCACAGAAAAGGGCGGCATCATTCATCATGGCATGGGGCGGTTCGTGATCACAGATTGAATCCTTTCCTAGAGCCCCAGCCTATTGGCAAGGCGGCAGGGATCATCACCGAGCCAGACCGGGTTGAGAGAAGCTCCAGCCAGGCAGTACATAGGTACTTGTTATCCGTCCTATACGTACTGCGTATGATAAGGTAAATACATAACATCTGAGGTACGAACAGAGAGGCTAAAAACTCAGGAGAAAGCTGCTTACCGCCTTGGAAAAGAAGCGAGAAAAAACTAAGCAGGACCAGCCAGGACGGGAGTGGAAAAGAGGAGAAGATGGCAGCATCGGACGACAGCAAACGGTCCTCCCACCTTCCCTTCCATGGAATCCATAGTTCCATTGGCGCACTCCGTAGTGGATCTGGACCGGGCCAATTCTCCATTCTGGCAAGCACTGCCCATGGAGCAACTTGACTGATTTGGGAACATGGGAAGCAACGCCCCAAGATTGAGCCCATCTGACAGGCACGCACGATTCGTCAACGGTCTGTTGCAATTTCCGCCATTGGCCAATGAGGCCGTTGCGTGCCTGGAAGAAGCGGGGCGGTGCCGGGAGCCGCCTTGAAACGGCGTCGATAATTGGGCGGCCGTTGGTCGTTTCCCAACTAAGCTCATCGACCCCCTGCAGGGGCTCGTGGTCCGTGAGCTCGTGTGCAGCCAGGAACGAGCGAGTTGTTCTTGCTCTGCTCTTGCTCCAGTTCCTGAATTCTGCCAGATAATCCCCCCTGGCTCTTGCCTTCCTCCTCCGAACCTGGGCGGCTGTGACGACAAGCTGGGACTCCCCTTTTTCTGTGCAATCTGGACTCGCAAATCAGCACCCACTGCGGCCTTGTGCAAGTGGGTCCATTGGATAGAACACGCGGTTAGCGTCGTGGTGACATCCATTTCGAGAAGGAAGGTGCGTCCTTCGTCAGCAATACCCGGCCTTCCACTCTTCGAGGCAAGCCGCAAGCCGCAACACAAACAAATCATAACGACTTGGAGAATAACAATGCAACGCCCGTCGAGAACATGAACTCTGAATGCTCTCGGATTCGCCCGACCAAACTATTGCTTCTCAAATCTCTTTTTCCTTTTCTGCCCTTCCGTCCAGTCCGCTTCCTCCTCTGCCGCCCTCATCTCGATATCACACGGAGCTATAACACACCGGCGCCTACCAGTATTTTTCTCCCTCATCACAAGTCTACCGAGCGAAAAAGCTGCCAGCTTGATCCCTCTTCTGCCCAGTCTAAATGTCTCCGGGTATCCGTACCATCGTCGACTGACAAAGTTGTCCGTCCCAATCCGGTCTTGGCCTCTCCCGGGGCCCCACGAATGCAATCATTCAACATGTCAAATCAGGTTTGCTGCTTGCTGACTCTCACCCAATTCTAGAAAGACTTCATTAACTCATTCCGCCCTCTCCCACCTTTTTGGCGGCGGCAACGTCCCGATGCCAGAAATAGCGTCGGAGCTCCAGCAGCCACCTGGTCACTCCATGCCAGTGGGGCTCTCGACCCGCACCGTCATCTCTGGCAAAGCGAGAGCCTCGTGGCCCACGATGGCCCCGTTGCCCTACACACGAGATTACGAGCTCGTGAATGGACTCTTCCAGTCTTCCACGCCTACCACGGTGCTGCCGCCTGCGAGCCTCGTACTCCGTACACAACCCAGAATTCAGAATGCAAAATCCTGCCCGGCCCGTAGCGATCTTAGCATAGCCTTTTCGTCCGACTCCGCCTGCCGGCTCCTGTTGTCGCAGATCATCCCTTTCGGGACCGTCTACGAGATTTCCGGGAATTGCTGTTGCCCCTTGGAGACAAACGAGAGTTGTTCATCTCGTTTGTTGTGAAGCACCGTTGCATTGTTCAATGCAGCGACCACCTCTTATCCCACAGCCCCTGCCCCTCCGGGTTTAATGCAATACTACTCCTGACAACTCGACACCGAACATACCGAGCATATGGTCCGAGCCACATGTGGCGCTCGTTTGTGGCGTCCGTCCGCTCCGATTCACCACGGCGCCACAGAGAGACAAATAACGACTCTCCTCACTGGGTCACTTCCGCAACCATCATCATCCGGTTTGATGTTATCTTGACAAGTGTGGGATATTCGACATGTGGCGGTTCCCCTGAGTGGCCATCGCTGCCGAGAAGGTCTTTGACCTAAATACCAAATGCAATCAGGCTGCACCGTCCAGAGGCACATCTCATTGCCCATGTTCCTGAATAAGGTCTGCTCATTTTTGACACGTACAAGAATTTCATTGTGGCCTCTTAGCGGAGAATTTGGACTACTTTTGACCTCAACCGCAGCTTGACTGGAGGTAAGCCCATGGGCAGTTCCCAACCAGGCGTTTGCTAAGCCTCTTGGTGAGCATGATGAAGAGTTCTTGCAGGTGACAGCGCCTGACGACATCTTGGGTCTCCATGATAATGAAGCTTGCTAATACTCGCCCAGTACGGATGACAACGCATGAGGCAGTTCGCCCGTGATGCTCTTGCGCTGAGGTGGCGGTCACGGCCACATCTTGCCTGCGAACACGATACATGCAACGATACCAAAGCAGTCTGGCAGGCGATTATCTTGCGCAAAAGGACCATTCGGAACATGCATCGCTCATCTGTTCTGCGTCAGTCTACGGAAACGATGTATGCAACAGCACCGAAGCAGTCTGATGGGCGGTGAAGCGGACCAGAGCCTGTCCAAGTACCAAAGACAACCCGCGCATCCCTGCTTGGCTAGCAGTGTCGACCTCAACCTCGTGAACTTCCCGGCCGCGGTTTTCCAGGAAAGTTGCGAAGCACAGCAGGTGTCTGAGGATTGGCCGCCAGTGCTAGGCAAAGATTCAGTTGGCAGGCATCTGCAGTACAGTGATCACGACACACAAGACCTCGATTTGAGGATGCCCAGTGGCGAAAGAACATGTCTTGAACCAAGTCTTAACAGGATCGACGAAACACACATTGGCAAGTCAGCGACAAAGTTCCGACTCTTGCTTGGCCTTGTACGAATGCAGCTAACCGTCGCCATGCTGCGAGAGCCCCGCGCGATCACCACCGAGTTCCAGAGGCGATGACCGTCTTGTGCACCAGACTAATCATAGCAGGAGGCGGTGTGGCACTTTTCGGCATTACAAGTGCCACAGCATCAAGTAAGGGTCTGGAAAGATATCGATCCCTCGCAGTCCTTGGACATACCTACCCTGCCTGCCCACGTACGACTCTCTGTCGGCCACATCGATATTACACAGCGGCGAGTGACTGCACGATCGGACTACCTTGCCCGAAATGTCTCAGCAAAAGGTTGCCGGCAGAGGTCTTCATTGAGGAGCAAGTTTCTTTAGCCCTCCTTGCGAAGAAGCAACTGTGAGGCGGTCAGCGACTGGGCTGGCCAAGCAATATACTTCTAGCCAATAGCTGTACTCCAAGTCATCCCGACATACAGTTGATCGTGTCCGCAGAGCTTCAGACTGTCCATAAGCAAGGTCTCAATGGTAACGAGTGGTGTCAGAATCGTGCACCGGATCCAGAGGCTGGCATCTCTTCTGAGGACAGAACGACTCGGTGATACTCACTTGCTGGCGGAGGCCGAATCAGACCAATGCAATTGGCAGGCAACGACGCCCCTTGTTGCCCAATAAGGTCTGCCAACTCGCAGACGAACGTCCAGTAGGCTTTGTCGCTTCACGATAGAAGTTCGGTTTATCGAAAGCGGATGATGCTTGATCCTCGGACTTGCTTTTTCGTATGCTCTTCAGGCATAATTTTGTTTTTATAGGATGTCTTGTGGCGCCGGAACCCCGTGAAGATCACATGGACCGCTTCGTCCGTAGGGTACCGAAATGCAGCTTGGCGAGTGGCTGCTACTTGAGCAAAAGGAAACATTCAAGCCGGCCAACACGAGTCGTACACCATGCTATTTCGTCAGCAAAGCGAGAGAGTTCATGAGTACGGAGTAGTGAGAGTGTGACCGCACGAACTCCCATCCGGCCTTGTCCAGCCACTCATTCCGACCTACTGGAGCAATGAGCCTCAATCGATTTGCGCCTTCATGCAATGCTATGGTCACCAAGCCGCCAGACTTTGATGTTGGGATGCGATAGCTCGCAGCGCAGTTTCCAAATACTGGACAGGCGATATTGAGGAATGTCGATCCCTGCCGTGACCTACTCTCTGGCGTACGATCGTCCAATGAGACCCTACCCAGGCCTGTTAAGGAGGAACGTGGACGGACCAGGCCGCCTGGAATGAATAGCAGTCGTGACTGGCCCTTTCAAGTTGGTAGAGTTGAAACACTGAAACAACGACAACCCCGCCAGAGTGGACCAAGACCAATCCGGGGTTGACACACTCAAACTTCGGGCGGTCTTTTGGGGTATTTCCTCGGGAAGGGGGAGAAAGTCCCAGTCCCTTTGGAGTTTCATGAAACCCCGTCGGCTCGAACAGAAGGGGGTAGGCCATTTGACTCCATACACATAGCAATTCTGCATAGATTGCTCGCAGAGGCGGAGCGGTATGACACAGCAGTGCACGTTCTGAGTACCAGCGTTGCACCCGTGGGATGTCGCAGAGTAACGCTCAGCAAGCCAGAAAGCACCTTGCTCAATATTAACCTTTGGTAAAAAAGGACGAGCGGTCGGCGGCCACGACACTGGGTGAAGAGGCGCTGCTCCGTACGGATACAAAACACGTCTAATTCTTACCACGAGGGCTAATCCACAACCAAGACCATGGCTTTCTGCTCGGAGCCGGGCGCTGTCATCGACATACATCTTCAAGGGGCTTGCGCTCCAAGTGCAGTGTAACGCTGCGTGAGAATTTGCTCGTTGGAGATGAACACAAACAAGCGAAGGGCGAGCGGGAGCAACTTGGCGCGCGCGGGTGTCTAGAACAAGCCCTTGCCAGCCAGCCAGCCCAGCCCGTGAACTCGGATGGCAATACATGACGCCTAGAAGTGAAGTGCCTTTTACGGACACTCTTGGTTGCCATGCTGATGGGACCGATGCAGGTTTGACAGGGCGTGTTGGGACGGACGGAGAAGCTCAGGGACGAGATGGGCCAGATGGCCGGCCCCGGCTCGTACCAAGCAGAAACGTTGACGGGCTCATTTGTTCAGCCGAGGGATGGCGCAACAAGGACGTGCCAGCGCGCCCACCAGCAACATTACAGCATTCCGGTATGCCTGTTCATAAGAATTGCGTTCCAGGAGCCAACAGGTCCACGGAGGAACGAAACATGTCCATGATATTCCCATGGACTGGCGGCTCTTTTTTCTCTTTTCTTATTCTCTATTTTCCGCATCATCGCCACGCGGTAGTACATGATACACCGACCGCCCCTTGCTTGACTTCTTTAGAGTAACAAAAACAAGACTCACGCTTGGCAAACAAGTACAAGAATGTTTTGTTTCTTGCCTCTGATTAAAGACGTTGAATGTTTAGCGACGACTTGCGGGACCAACGGCACCGCTCTGGTGGATTCATCATGTATTGAAAACACGAGCCACGGTTCCTCAGCTTGCACTTATTGTTGATGCCCCTATGCCTGCCAATCCAATCAGCGCGTTTTGGTTGAATAAAAGACATAGAGATGAGGAAGCCTTTGATACCTGCAAAGTGTGTTCAACCGAGGTACATGACAACGATGTTCCTTCCTCAGACTCTCAATCGAAGTTTCGGACTGTACGAGTAAGGTGAGACGTCAAGGCAAAAGGAAGGAAGGAAAGAAGGTATGGGAAGATGGTCTGCCTGCCTTGTTGCAGAATTCAGTAGCCCAACTTGGAAGGCGAATGCTGCCTTTCCTACCTTGAACAAAATGTGCCTTCCGATTTACTTAACGAGGTGACACAGGAGGGGGCTGCAGGTAACATCGCACAAGAGCCTCCTTCTCTCTTTCCTTTCCTTTCCTTTCCTTCCCTTTCCTTTCCTCTCTACTCCTTGTCGATCATCCTACACTCTTCAACGCTTCTCTACGGTCGGACAACGAAGAAACACACGTTGAAGAAACGAAGCGCCGTTTTTTTTTGTGTGTGTTCAATCTTGCTGTGGCCCGTTTCGCTTCCTCGAATCTCAGAGACTTGGCTGTCGTTTCTGCCCCAGAATCCCTGAAGATCATACACGGAACTCGGCCGGAACATAGTCGCAGGTACATTTCCGGCACATATCGCCGCCCCCTGATCCTAAATCGCCCACGCCCCCCTGAAGTCCAGTCTGGACACTTTGGACAAGAAATCAAACGCGAGACGGCGCAGTGATAGCGAGACGGCATTGGACGCTCGACCAGGGAAAATCCGGGGTTGTGGCAGTTCAGAGGCGACCTGTCAATCTTCAAGCCACGGTTCGCCTGGGTTGCCATTCCTAATTCCATCATCATTGGCCTGTTCAGCCACCGTTGAGGCAGGCAACAACAAGTTTGCTTTTGCTCCTCACGAGACGAGAAAACAAAACATTCAAGCCACGGCTGGCCGTTCGTCATCAAGCAGTCTTCTCTTACACGGCGGCCCACCCGGCTGCTGCAGACTTGTGGTCCCCTTTCCCAACCCCTGGTCCAGGCTTGTTCTCCTCGCTACGCCGGACGAATACCTTGACCCTGGATTCGGTCCTCCACAAGTGGTGCTGCTGCTCAGTGCCGTTGCCGTCCTGTTGAGAAATTGAGATGTCTCCTTCACTGCCGCGTACGGGGTACTCTGCACGACGACAATAGTGGAGAGACGAGTAAAGCGACATTGTCGGGTTCGTGCTGCCTGGGCGGCCTATTGATCACATCACCAGCGTATTACACCCTAGAGACGATACTACGCAAACCACGGGCTGTGAGCAATCAATCACACGCGCAGTGTTGTCTCTCAACAGCAGCTGCCCCCTTGTCCGTATTATCTCGCCTGCATTGATCATCGCGCCATCCGTCCCGGACCCCCATCAACATTAGACCAGCCAGCTCCAGCTACGGATACAGCTCGTCGGTGCAGCGGAGGTCTTGGAGAAGTTTTGACCAGAGCAGAGCGATCTTTTGCGTGGCCTAGAAGCGAGCCATCTGCTGATACCTCCACTGGAAAGAGATCTGTCTGCCACGCAAGATAACCCACTCTCCGAACCAGCCTGCCCAGCGTTGTCAGCATCGAATCCCAGTTGCATCTCATTCTTTCGTGGGAGCCGTGCCTCATCAATCCACCGCCCACGAGTGCCCCCGAACAAACAAAAACCCGTCAGACGCTAAAAAGGACGGCAGAACCCCTTCTCCTCCCCTGGCGGACGGGGTTTTTTTTCTTGTTCTTGACTCGTCTCGTCCTAGCGTATCCCCGTCCGTGTGTGTCTCCCTCGATTGGACTCGCCGCCTGTTGTTCAGCCCAGATTCCTGCAGAGGTCGAGACTCAAGACTCTGGACCCAGCTCTCGGACGGCCAACGGTACGGCGTCCTCACCTCGAAGGACGAAGAAGCTTGCCGCCAGCCTGTCTTGTCTGATCTTGGGGCAGGATCCATCAGTCGAAGGTAGATTAGAACTGAGATCTCGCCGATCACCGGCGACTCAAGGGTACGAAGTACCTTACCTCTCCACGACGTTCAGCATAATCTACGAATGTTCGTATGAAGCCAGCGAAAAGAGTATCCGTACTTGCTCCGCTTCGTGTCTTGAATGACCTGCAGCTCTTCCTAGCTCTCCTCATATGTACGGACACGCTACGGATACAGCTACGGGTTAATCGAGCCAGTGTCTCCCGCCTTGGTCCCGTCAGTCAGTCAATCTCTCTCGCTCTCTCGCCTACTCCGCAGTGGGCCACACCCCCGGCTCCACGCGCTGCATCTGCATTCTCGCATCGACAAGCCAAATTGCACACTCGGCGCCTTCAACTAGGTTGCTTGAGGACTTCCGGACCAGATAAGCGTGGGCAAACCACGGCGGCATCGGATACATGTTTCCAAGTACTCTAGTGACCAGCATCTACGTACGGATTCCGCCATCGAATGAATTGTACAAACAAAACGGTCTCAGCCCGGACAGACCCTCTCTCTCTTTCTCATCGCCGTGATTCAGGCAGTCGGCCTGCTGTTTATTTCCGCAGGTTGTTTATCCCAAAGTGCAGCAGCACCTGTATCGACAGAAGCAGCACAACCGCATCCACGATCCACTCGGTTCTCGGTACACGCAGTCTGGGAGAACTTTTGACCATTCAAAGACGGTCACTTTGTGCTTGTCTGCTTTACGGCTTGCCCTACCTTGGCCAAGCCAGAGGTAACGTCAAGTACCTCACCTTGAGTTTGGTGCCATTGCAACATCAACGACTCTCCCTGTCGTGCCTGTGGCCAGCCGTCGGAGACCAATCGCAAACCGCCATTCCAGTCCAAA